ATGGAACTCAAGAGACTTTACAAGTGTGTGGAGTTGAAATCAAAATGGAGAATCAGTTAGAAGATTACCCCCCCCGCCCCACACACACACACTTCACGTCCCCAGCTCTTTTTGGCATCAAGGCTAGTGTGATCACATCACAAGATGGTCTCTGTAATTGCAAAAACTGAGGACTGGACCATGTGGAGGACCGACGTTAGCTGAGAGTCTTTATATCTGATTCTTGTTGGTTTGAACGACCCTAAGAGTGCAAAATAATGGACACATTTGCATCTGCATGTATGAAAACATTCTTCAGTGTGATTTTATTGCTATTTGCAAATGATTTGCAGTGAAACAAATAAATCAGTAAATACACTTCAACTTTGAGAATCACAATTTGTCCTGGTTTAGATAACTGCCATTATAGCAGCACCAATGATAGAGTGATTTTATCGCCAATCAAATGCCCTCACAGCCAACAGAACAACAGCTAAATGAAACTGATGGTAATAATGTAGTTTTACGAACACTATGCGATAAAAATGTGCATGTGTGTGTTGAGCACACACACTCTGAAGTTCACAGCACACTATTAAGATGTGTCTATAATCCACTATGAAGTGGAGAAGATGCTCCTGACGTCAGGGGGAATCCGCTGAGCGTGAATTAAAAGAATATGTAGCAACAAATAAATAAAGGTTCTTGAAAGTTCTTTATGTCTCTCTCTGACCTCAGTCTGGAGGTTGTAATGTGGAGTTCATGGACGTCTGAGCTCAGCTATGCATGAAGGGAAAATATGAACGGCAATATCACATATAATGAAATCTTAAAATCAATTCTACATTTTTTTTTTTTTAGGAAGCCAGAACCGGGGAGCTAAAATTGGTTTCCACTTTTAATGGAATCACAATATATTTATGTGTGTGTGTGTGTGTGCCAGAAGTGTGGAAGTGTGAGACGGCAGCCAGGGAAACATGAACGGGAGCAGAGTGCGATAAGTATTAAATGATAGGTAATCTTGAAAGAAATTGCAAAGGGGGCACTGTAGGACGGCTGGATGATTAAGATCTGATGAGATCTGAGTCTGTGATCAGTCTCTTCAGCGCTGTGACACACTAGTTATAAAAATATACTTAACTTAAGGTGAGAGCGGAAAATATTAAACTGTGTGTGTGTGTGTGTGTTGTAATGGGAAAATATGTCATAGTCTCATGTGAAGGTTTAAAGAATGTAAGTCCTAAAAGTGCAGACACCCAACTGTAGTTTCAGTAGATGACTTTAATTAGTTTAGTATCCAGGTGTCTTGTTATCTGTTATCTTGTGCACTGTTTCTTTCTTATTCGTAACAGAGATCCTCTGTTTGAAATACTTTTAACTTCCTTTATGACGCATTCTCTGAAGTTGTAAAGGCGTAAACCTTTGCATGCATATATGATGTGTGAGGGTAAAGAATGTCTATTCTGTCTCTGCAATGGTCATTTTAACAATGTCACAGTGGCTTCAAAGGAAGCATCTGCTGTGTGTTTAAACGGTTTATTGTAAGGCAAACTGTGAACAAAGGGATTTGCAAACAGGAGCTAAAGCGCCTTCCTGACTGTCTTAAATGAAGTATACTAAGGCTCGAAGGATGACCTGTGTTTATTTGTGTTCTCCTTTGGGTATTCTTGTTAGCTAAGCAGATAACAGGAAGCTGTCTGAGCATAAATGTCCATGCATTGTGACTGTTTAGGCAGACCACTCTTACAGATCACTGCAATGCGTCTGTGAGACTGTTCTCTTTGCTTGCAAGCAAATAAATTGACTTTACAAACCTTGATCGTTCATCAAAACTCTGTTTATTTTACATTGATTGAAAACCTTCACTTTCTTCTCCTGACTAGTCATAAGAAATATTCCACAACAGTGTGTGTGCATCTTTTAGCTTCACCTGCTGTGACACCAAACCTCCAGGAGCCATCTGCTCCTGTTATTTTATCTCTCGTAGCAACCAGCGGGGCCATAAGGATCCAGCAAACAAAGACTCCAGACACATGCTGTTGAGGCAGAGCCGTCATGTCAGCCAGAGGCCACCTTCAAGGTTTGCTTCTTCTCCTGGCCACATACTGAGAATAAAAGCCCTCCAAATAATATGTTCGTTCTCACTAGATGAGAAGATATGAAGCCAGAAGCCAATTAGCGTAGCTTAGCTGAAGAAAACAGGTGGGAAACAGCTTCCATCCGAAGGTGATGAAATTGACCCTTTGAACATCATATGTGGTTTGTGGTGTAAAACCGACAATTCCAGTTATTATTCCTCCAGAGAATACAGTCCCACGCACAGGTAAATATCTAAATATCTCCTTTCTGCTGCACGCTTCACTGAGCAGCAGCTTAAAAGGACATGACAGATAATGTGAAGGAAAAAAATGCAGAATGCAATATAATAGTCACAAAGAAAAATAACCGTGTTATCTGTTGTGACACAAAAACAATTTAGCTTTGTTGAATGTTCAGCCATTCCTCTCTCCGTGTTTAAGTAATGACGCTGAATATTTGATGGATAAACACTTACTGTCAAATCTCTCATCTCGGGTACAATAGGTCTCGTTTGCGCCACCAAATTATCATAAATATCAGCTCAATAACAAGCACCCAAATTACAGCTGCAGTTAATGCCTCTGCATAATGAACACCTCTGCCAAGCTGCAGTTAACACCATAAAGCTTCATTTCCTCAAGGGCCGATACAACTGACTCCAGCAATATAAAAGTGCTTGTTCTCCCACAATCCAAACAATATTGGTGGGATTCACACATCGACTGGGAGGGTTTTGCACTCTTTTTAGGTGTGTGTTGGATGGCAAAGGCCCCTGGAAGCAACACAGGGCAATTAAAAAAAAAAAAAAAAGAGCCATAAGGAAGGTCCATCTGTCAGCAAGTGAACCGGAGCAAGAGAAGAAGAAAAAACCAATTGATTCAGTGGTAATTTGGTCGCAGGTACAACAGATGTGAGGCCAGAACATTGTCACTGATGCACGGAAACATTAGCGACATCCTGCGACGTGGGCCCTGGTTTAAGCGCACTGAGGCCTGCACACACACACTCACACACACACACAATCAGTGCATGCACACAAGTACACACTCACAGCGGGGACACCTCCTCCAGACACCCACATGGAGGCATGTTCCAAAAATGCTGTGAGACACAAACAGCACCAGAAGCAGAGCAAGAGGCGTCCCACAGAGAAGAGAGAGAATGAGAGAGACAAAAGGGAGGGGGGGAGGAAGGGGAGAAACTGAGAGGAATGGAGAAAATAAGATGTAGAGAGAGAGAGGATAGGGAGAGGAATGAAAGTGGGGGAGAGAGAGAGACAGAGGGAGGATTTATCCTGTCTTAATTGGAACAAAGTGTCGGTGGCGTCTTTCATTTCGTGGAAGATAATGACACCAGTTGAAGCACAGCGAAACAAAAACAACCCAAAAATATTTGGCTTCCGAGACCAGCAACAAAACTTGCTCTTTGCGAACCCGTTAAATGTGGACACCTGGGCCTGTGTCTGTGGACGCTCCGCATGGGAACAGTTTGACCGGTCAGCGGGGGTGGTGGGACGGGGCGCTTCTGTTTAGAGGCGATCAAGTGAAGCATGTAAACGCATTATATGAACCCAAAGTCCCCCCCCTCCCCCCTCTGTCTCTCTTTTGGTAGGAAGCGAGTGGCGTTGACAGCCTGCCAATGTTGGAAGAGTCTTGATCAAACAGATGCAGCCACGTTTCTGCGTTCAATCAGTTTCACACCACCATGGGGGAAGTGGGCGGATGTTTAGCAATGTAGCCTTTTGGCTAAAACAAAGACGTCTGACTCACAGATGAACTGATTATTTAAAGGTCGATTAAATCCTTGTTTAACACGTTAACACTGAACATTCTACATCTTGCTGATGGATGATGAACATTTGAATTATTTCATGCACTTTCTTTTTGGAAAATAACTCAATAAATTTCCACTTGAGCATCAAATGATGTCCTCATATTATCTTTAATCTTTCATGTGATTCACTGATTAGTGAAGGTGAGCTTTGTTTTGGCCCGAGGGTCGACTCACTGTGGGGGTCCCTCCTCCTCTAATGCTACCCTGCTGATTGACCTGCTATTAATTAGCATCAACTCCTTCATGTGAGTCCACAAATAACGCTGAGCAGCCCTCTTCCACGTTTAATTCCAGGGTGTCACACTGAGACTCCCAACTTTAATCAACTCACTATCCCTCCTTTCCTTTATTATCTCTCTCACTCTCTCTCTCTCTCTCACACACATATACACACACACGCACGCACACACACGCACACACACACACACACCGTTTCACCCTGTCTTTGGTGTGCAGGGAGCAACAATGAGCTGTCAAGAAGAGATAATGGCTGCAATCATTTCTGATTCTCATCACCATTCATCCAATGAATTCCTCGGCGACGTTGACGTGATTTTGAAGCATGACAGCAGAGATAAAACACCGACATCACCGACAAAAGTTCAACTGATCATCCGGTTTTCCGGCATCAGATCCAATTTGCTGTTCGCGAACAGTGCTCTCAATCGTAAAACCGCCTCTTTTTTATCAGTGAAACTGGGAACAAAACAATTTGCATTTAGTTTTTTTTTTTTACTTCTGTCACATTATTAAGACGCGACATTGGTGCGTTTTTACGCGCAGATTGAAATCACGGCAATCTGAAGAAACCGTGCACATTGGATATTGTGGAGGTCACTTGTAATAAACCTGTAATGTTAATGACGAGTCGACAGCTGCAGGACTATATGGACAATCCACTGTATGAGTAAGATACAATAAGCTATATAAAATGACGTAAATGACCATGAAGTCACTGCAAACTCATTCGAGCACCACAGAAACACCGCAAAACCCCTTTAGGGGCAATAAAACCAACGACAGGAGCGGGTTTATGTTCAGGAAAACGCTAACAACCGACCCTGGCACTTACACTGGAAACACCGTGTATAAAGATAATTCCTCCTTACCCGTGTGTTTGTTTGTTTGTTGGTTGGTTGTTGTAGTTTTCCTTTTGTTGTTGTTTACGCTTTGAACAGCAGCTCAGTCATATGGCTGCAGGCTGACAGCGGCAGCAGCTCCGTAGTCCGCTCTCCGTGCACCCCGGGATGTGCCGAGCATCCGGACCGTCTCCTGCCTCTTATGAGGAGGAGAGTCACCACCTGCTCCGCGTGTGCGCGCGCTGCCGACTGCACGTCCGCGTGAGGGAGGGAGGGAGGGCTGACGGGTCGGCGAAGGCTTGTCCCAGCAAGAGCGGAGGCAGCAATAAGTGGAGTTAGTGTTGTTAGTAGTAGGGTACCTGTACTTTATGTTGATTTCCCGGAGGGAGAGGCCAAGATAACAAAAGGCTGAGATGCATCAGAATTTTTCTTTTTCACAGCTGATCCATCAGGATTTTTCCACTGCCTGTCAAACCTGTCACATCAGACATCCACTGAATGTGAATGTCCAAAAATGTCCTCAACCGGGTTCAATAGACCCAATTTCATCCTTCATTTGTCAAAAGTCCACAGCGGCTATGTGTGTTTTGATCTGGGGTGCTTTTTCTTTTAGGCTGCACTATTTAGTTATTGGAAGAGTTCTTCACTGATTTAGCATTTAAACGTTTACAACATCAGACTGTTTTATAAAAAAGATCAAAGATCAAACCAAAGATTTTGAATTTTTTTTTAATTCCTCGCATTCCTCTTCCTTGTCAAAACGCACACCTAAAGATGTCTGGAAGAAGGCAAACTTCTCCCATGTGCTGTCTAAACAAGGAGCCTGCATTACCCACAATGCAACTCGACCACTGTTAGTGCAGTGATGTCCATAAAGAACTTCCCCTGGCAGAACCCATCCAACCAGGACCTCCACCCACCAACCACACCAGCAGGTCCCTGCAGCACTGGGATTTGTTTTACTTGTTCATTCACTTCAACGTTCAGTTGTACTTCCTGTGGGTTTTGTTTCCCAACGTGAAGGTCTAAACCGTGTTTCAGAGCTTCTCTTCACTACCTTGAATGTAATTCAAATCGTTAAAATTCATTATGAGATTGTCTTGAGATGGGATGGATTTCATTGAGTTTTGTTTTTTATGCTGTATGTGATATCATGTGCTGTAGTTTTTGACGTTCCTTTGATATTCTTTTATGCTCTTTGTACAAAGAAAATGATTCTAGTGTCGATAAAGGTTTCACTCACTCATTCATTCATTCATCACACCAGCTGCAAAGCCAAATCAGGTCCCCTTCTCCACTTTCTACCCCCCCCCCCCTCTTCTTCCGGAGCCCTCTCTCGGACCATACGCCCATCTTCAATCTCAACTACACAACTGTAAAGTTCCCTGCACGAGTCAAATCCTCTTCTGTGGTGGTGTCCGCTACAGCCAGGACGACATCTGGCCATGATGTAATATTTACCTCTGTGTCCTCAGTTGGAGCCGCAGCCAAGAATCCAACATCTCGGGGATGAAGTGGGATGCCAGATCCAATCACCCAGTGTTGGACCTCCCCAATGCTCCTGCAGTCAGGCCCCAAAACCCCAGTGGGAAGTTGTTATAGCAGCAGATGGATGCCTACATGTGGGTGTCCACATACTTCTGTCCATGCAGTGTATGTCAGACCTTCAGCTGAAACATCAATCTTTAATTGTGTAAGAGGAAAACAAACGTGACCCGGTGTTTATTCCTCAATGCGAATCAATGAAAAAGAAAGAAATAGCCGAAGAAACCCTCAATAACATTCGGCAGTGAGCTTGGTTTGGTAGACGTCCTCCGCAGGGAAACGGCTTGCAGCTGCATTTTTCATGGCCTGTTCTGTCTTGATCCTGCAGAGTCAGTTGACTGCAGAGAGCCAGAGAGACTTATTCTAAATCTACCCTGTGAGCCTGTTGTGTGTCGACAGATTTAACGCTGTTACATTTTGGAGAATGGGTATAAATCACTTCAGGGAATTGGTTGACATTTAGAACTTTTGTTTTCGTTTTGTGCGTCCGCCCCTTGAAAAACAGAAAAAAGAAGCTTGTTAGCATTATTGAGCCCAATGAAACAAGCTTTATTATACTCATTTGGTTTGACTATAAACAATGCTGACATGCTACTTAGTGAAGTGTGAGTGCAACACACAGGGACCAGGTCTGCTGCAGGAAGATAACACATTTAAAATGCCTATAGAAATGTGTATTGGGTGCTCAAACGTCTGGTATTGTAATGAGTGAATTCATGTAAGTTCTGCACTGTGGGATTATTAGACTCTGTCACATACATATAGTACAACTTTCATTATTTACCTATGTGTTTATGTTATGGTTTCTTGGTAAAGAACTTCTAAAGAGGCTCGGTGAATATTCCTGATACTTAAAAAGCACATTAAAACACTTTCATTGGCTTTTCCATTTCAAGTTGCGATTTCCACGCATTGCTTCATGCTCGCAGTCAGAGTCGGGCAAATCTGAGCAAAGATGTCAGCAGCTCCTTTAAAGTAGAAGATGGTATTTAAATGGGACCCCTGTAGTTCCTGTGAGATTCTGCAGGAGAGCCAGGTATTCTGTTCTCTGGGTGGATTATGGAGATCAGTGATTCCCACCTGCATGGGGTCACGTGGAAACGTTGAAACGTTTGGTGGGAAACAGACTCACTAACAAGATTACAAATTGATGTTATAGGCTTCTTTTCTATACATCACCAGCTACAACGGGCTGACTGCACATCACACCCAACCTGAATCAGTTGAAACACCCGAACGCCACCTGCTGAGATTGAGCATAAAAACTTTTGAAAGCCATCAGAGAAGCAGAAGCTGAAGAGAGTAAAGAGAGAGTAAAGAGAGAGTAAACAGAGAGTAAAGAGAGAGTAAAGAGAGAGTAAAGAGTGAGTAAAGAGAGAGTAAACAGAGAGTAAAGAGAGAGTAAAGAGAGAGTAAACAGAGAGTAAAGAGAGAGTAAAGAGAGAGTAAAGAAAGAGTAAACAGAGAGTAAAGAGAGAGTAAAGAGAGAGAGTAAACAGAGTAAAGAGAGAGTAAAGAGAGAGTAAAGAGAGAGAGTAAATAGAGAGTAAAGAGAGAGTAAAGAGTGAGTAAAGAGAGAGTAAACAGAGAGTAAAGAGAGAGCAAAGAGAGAGTAAAGAGAGAGTAAACAGAGAGTAAAGAGAGAGTAAAGAGAGAGTAAAGAGAGAGTAAAGAGAGAGTAAACAGAGAGTAAAGAGAGAGTAAAGAGAGAGTAAAGAGTGAGTAAAGAGAGAGTAAA